CTTTCTTTCTTTCTTTCTTTCTTTCTTTCTTTCTTTCTTTCTTTCTTTCTTTCTTTCTTTCTTTCTTCCTTTCTCTCTCTCTCTCTCTCTCTCTCTCTCTCTCACACACACACACCAGTCAGCCTGAAAGCTCACAGCTCACACTCTGTTTGCCCATCTTTCACCAGATGAAAGGTGTCTGGGATTGCCCTGAGTGACATTTTTCCGTCTGCTCCTTCATAGGGATCACAGGCCCTAAAACTGACATTCATTTTGCTGTGGTAGGCCTCTCTTGCACATAGTGGCTTGCGTTCTCATGAGGACTCAGGGCCCCCTGCTGGCTCTGGTGTGACAAGCGCTCTGCCAAGGTTAGAACCCACTTCACTGTTATCAGATACCTAAATATCAAGGCTGTGATCCTGCCTGGAGGGAGTTGTAGGCAGTGACTAGGAAAGCATCCTGGGATGGTCTCTAAAGGAGAAGGAAGGTCCAAATCTGAGTAGATTATCAGAAGTAGTTCTTCCAAATAACGGCTTTTACTGTTGCAGTTTGTCTTAATGGATGAGAACACTGTAGTTTAATAACTGAAAATGTAACACCAGGGTTTAGCATTTCAAGGGTGCATCTTGTATAGAAAGGACGGACTTGATTTTTAACTCCACTTTGAGCTCTTGGTCTTTTCATTACTTACCATTGCATCATTATTGCCTCACTTTCTTCAGTTAAGATGAGTCAAGATCACAGGCTTAAGCCACCATGCCTATTTTCCCCCTATATTCTTTTATTTATTTATTTATTTATTTATTTATTTATTTATTTATTTATTTATTTATTTATTTTACCGCTGACTTATAGTTTTATGAATCCCACCTTTGTAAGTTGCTTTACTTTTTTTTTTTTTTAAGAAAAGGATGTTTTAACCTTTAACAAATTCAAGCCTTTACACTATAAAACACCTACACAGAACTAAAGTAAAATACACATAAAATGTAACCCAGTGCTCAAATCAACTCCAAGCCAGTTCAGAATCCCAGGGTATGTGTGAGGCACTTGGTAACTATGGCCAGTCTCAGGCTTTCCTATTCCAGAGAACTAATTGCTTCTAACAATGGCTGGCACTCTAACAACTGCTAGCATCCCTAAACTGGGTTCCTTTCCTACCATCTGACCCTTCCATTTTCCTTAACTTCCATCTCACTCCACCTCTAACAAGGCCTTGGAATTTTGAAGGACACGGACTACCTTGAGATTACTTTTCAACAGGACAGTGCTTCTGTGTATAACTCTCAGGGGAACATGTTGATACTGGTTCTAATGAATGAATCAAACATCTCCTAAGATATCAGTGAAGCTTCAGATACATGACATGTAGGACAGGGGAGTGAAGGCCTCCCTCCTGCTCTTGTATCAGTTCCAAAGTCACAGAGACCACATTTTCTCTTAAATACAGATCCTTTTCTTGGGAACTCAATTAAAAATGAACCAGCTTGATAAAGTGGGATGGGAAGTAGCTTTCTGCCCAGATTCTTCCTCTCACGCTGGCTGTCACTTGACTTCTCCTCAACTTCCTTTGCTTATCTGAAACTAGTCTACAGGATACATAGTGTATTAGTCAAGATTCTCTAGGGTAACGGAACTTATAGAATGAATATCTCTCTCAAGCATATATATGGGGATTCACTGGAATGACTTACAGGCTATGGTTCAGCTATCCAACTACAGCTGCCTATGTTTGGAAGGTCCAAGAATCCAGTAATTTTTCAGTTCATGAGGCTGAATGTCTCAGCTGGTCTTCAGTAGACTCTGAAATCCTGAAGAAGTAGGCTGTAATGCCAGTGAAGGAATACTTACTAGAGAGGCAAGAACAAGCAGGAAAAGAGCAAAGACTTCCTTCTTCCATGTCCTTATATAGGCTCTCAGCCGAAGGCACGGCCCAGATTAGAGATGGGTTTTCCCACCTCAAAGATTCATTTGAGAAGTGAATCTTCCCACTCCAAATTAAGTAAAATTCCCTCACAGGTGTGGCCTTCCTTTTGGGAGTTTTTGTTAATTCCAGATGGAGTCAAGTTGACAATCAAGAATATTCATTACAAGTACATTATTTGTCAACTTGGTGCACAATCATATTTCCTTATGTCATGATTAATTTACAAATAAAAAAATAACCTCATCATAATTACACCTACACATGATACAACTATTCCATGTACAAATACAAATGCATTATATATTTAAGCATATTGTAATTACACCTAACATAACTATCACTCATACAACTGCAAATGCATTATAAATTTAGAGTAGGTGGGACATTCTTTTAATATCTCAAACCTAAATGTGATGGCCATTAATATTCTCTTAATTGATGTTACATCACATGATGAAGAAATTGAAAAAAAAGAAAACAAAAATATCTGTACAAATGCATTCTCAACAAAATACAACAGAAGCACTCATGCAGAAATGCCCTCAATTTCGTAACTGGTCACATGCCCTTGGGTGGAATTTATAACTACCTTCCTGCACTACACATCCTGTATTTTTTCTGCTCTCAGCAAGCACCTCAACAGGTCATGGCTCTTTTCTTTGAGGAGTGACTCATATGTTCATTCCTAATAAGTCTGTGCCCATTGTCATCCTGCCTGGATTAGGCTATTGTAGTTTCCCACTGACATGGTGACACCAAGAGATGCCCTAAAGGATTTCCTGCACTTGGACATAATCTTACCTCCATTGTGGAGAAGCAATCCATTTCCCTCATTTGGATCAATCACTTTTCCTAACACCATTTTTTTTCTTAGCCTTTTGGCTTAAGAACAACATGAACCCATAGTGGCCAGGGAGAAGTCTGAGCTTCCGATTCAATGGAACATCTGTTGTGGCTCCTGGCAGAAGTGTTCCTCTCTCTG